CAACCATAGTCCAGGTGAGGGCGGCGTACGGCCGACCCTTATTAGAAAGGGACTGAACAAAAGGAGAGACACCAAACAGTGCTGACAAATGGTGTGTCCAAAAGTTAGCCGACGATTGACGATAAGAACTATATGGTCTTAAATCATTGCCAATCCAATAGTAGTTGAGTCCGTGTCCATCAAATGGCTGCCAACGCGGGAACTCGTAATTCACAAAATGTGGTGAATGTCTGATTTTGAAATGCGTTCAAATATGAATAATTCATAATTTGAATGATTAGTTATAGTATTGTGTTGTTTACCCGTGTTTAGCGAAATCAGTCCAAAGAGTGAGAACCCTTTCTCTTGTTTGGATGTCTTTCCTGGAGAACCAGCGCTGAGAAGTGATCTTAAGGTCAAACAAGTAGAAGAGTTCGTCGCCGTGACCGACGCCCGTCTCAAACAGTGTCATAGAGTTATCCATCAATACATTGACTAAACTGTTGCGTCCCTTATATGCAAATAAGTACTGATATGCGATTGCATCGGGAATTTGTGAATAAACTTTCAATGTTTCGTCAATACAAGAGGTGTAGAGGGCATCAGAACTCATCTATAATTGCAATCATTAATTGTCATACCGTTTAATATTCTATTTACAAATATTTTTACATTTATAAAACGGTAACTGATGTCAGAAATGTTCATTAAATCAACCCGGTTGAAATATTTAAATAATATTGTTTGAAGAATTTCTTTTTGTTTTAAACCTTTGAAACGAGTCGTGGATTCAAGAAATTGTGGTAAAAATACATTTTCAAGTGCTGACGGATCTGTTTGCAAATCTCTGTTGTTTACTAAAACTAATTCAAAATTAATTAGAAAAGTAGAAAATATAAATAAAAATCATGAATAAACTGAGACTGACGTGGATAAAAATAAGACGTTTCTTCACTATTAATTCCCATCATTAATGGAATTTTGTGGTAATTCCCAGAATTGAGTAAAATTCTTGGTTCGTCGGGAAGGAAGCGATTAATACCAGTCTTCTCGACTACTGGTGTCGTTCTTTGAGGGAATTCACCAAAAATCTGTTTTCATTCAATTAAATAATAATATTTGTTTAGATTCTCTATACTGTAGAGTAGGAATGTTCTATGTACGATTTAAGTTCATTTTTACTATGTAAACTTGCATGAGTTTACATTGAATCATATGTTTTCTGGACATTCCTACTGTAGAGTCTATAGTATTGATGGGCACTCTATTTTAGAGTATCACAGGTACAAATTCACAGTGTGCCATAAAAAGGTGGCGCAACGGTCAGTAAAAAAGTTCAGATTTGTCAGTATTAAACAGGAAACACTATGTGAAGGTCAACCTAATAGTTTTTCACCCATTTTCATAATGGTTGGCATTCAGTCTATTCACAAAACGTCATTTAAAGCAAAATTTAATTATTAAATACACATTTTAATGAGATTTCTGATATTGTTTGCAATTATCAAAAATTCTATTAATATTTGACTCAATCGTATTTAATGACCATATTTTCAAACGTGATCTTAATGATTTTGCACAAATACTACTAGTTTTGTAATTTTTAAGCAATTTCATTAAAGAAAAAATTGTTTACAATTAAAAGTACATCCAAAATATGTCAGAATTGTTAATGCATCATTTATTAATAATGGGAATGATGCATTAACCATTGATGCAATTGATGCATTGTTAATATTAAGTTGAGAGTTACAAACTTTATGTGAACTTTACAAAATTACAAACAAATGTTAAAAAATTTATTAACACGTTGTGCCCCTTATATTAAATATAATTATATTTAATTATAATGTAAAATGTCTGTTATTTGTCAATTTAATCAATTAATTATGGATATAATTATGTTAGATATTTTAGTTGAACATATGGCTACACTAAGTATAGCCGCTATACTAGAGTGCCCATCAATGGTCTATAGTAATGTAATGCCCAGAAAAAGTTATTCATATTAGAATAGCCCCTCATTTGCAAAGTTGACTGCACGACAGAATAGTACACTGAACTGTACACTGCATTGTATTACCTTAGCATTTGATTGGGCGGTCAATAAAGCACTGAAATGTGTATTCCTTAAGCAATTGACTAAATCAATGGTAGAAGATGTGGGACAGCCCACAGTCTGTGCCACTTGTCTGGCAAAGAGTAGCGGCGATCTCTCCAAAGCCCACTCGCAAAGGGCTGATCCGCTTTGAGCGATCGCCCGATGGAATAAACCTAAACATTATATTTTAAAATTGCATTCAATTTGTTATAAATTTAGTTGAATTTAATTCAAACCCTGAGATAAAGGCGATATCATGTGGTAAATGACTGAAGCGGCTCCTGATTTAACAAAACATTTAAATAAATACAGCCATTTATAGTGAATCCCAGACCTGATCCCTGTCCAAAAATGGTCACCAAATTAGGATCTCCATTGAAAGCGGCGATATTATTGCGAACCCATTCGAGGGCTAGTTTTTGGTCCCAAAGTCCCCAATTGCCGGACGCACTTTCATCATCAGTGCTTAAAAATCCTGTTTTACATTCAATTGCATTATTAGCGACACATTATCTAATTGTTTGTAATGTACTTTAGATTCATTAAAAGATTGTATTTGTGTGCCAACTATGGGCTCAAGCGGTATTAGTTCCGAGTCATGTTTTTAAATGTAACATGCACACGCAAGCCCTGGGTATACGATAGGGTGACCACCAAAAATTCTCTTAAAAAGGACGACTGATCAAAAATAGTCATTGAAAAGGACACAAAAAAGACGCAAAAAAATTATTATCACTATGCTTTTTTTCGTTGTTTTGTCACACATTTTAAATGAGTATTTAAATTAAAACACTTTTAACAAAATAAATAAATGATATCTTTTAGACCAAAGGGATTTTAAATAAATTTTTTGATTTTTATAATAGTTTTCTGTTAACAAAACAACATTTTGTATTATAGATGTCTACTCTGTTATTATTAGACTTAGCATAAAAGGAGGCTAAAAATGTTTTAATTGTTGTATTTTAAAAAAGTAACGAGACTAGTGTTAATTAAATATCTAACAATTAAGACCCGATTTGTATTGGGTGTTAAAAACGGGAAGATTTATATTGTGTTTAAACCGAATAATTACATATAAATACGGATAAAATAATTATTTTAGTTAAATATAAAGTCCTTTGATATTTGTTGCGGTTATTCTGTATTTATATGTAATTATTCGGTTTAAACACAATAAAAATCTTCCCGATTTCCAACACCCAATAAAAATCGGGTTTTAATTTGTCACGATCGGTACTGAGCAGACTTGCGGGCGAAGTATGACCAATACTGTCACAACTTAAAGGTGTGGTCGCCGACGGTATTAACCCCTAATTAAGGGCTAAATAACGGTACACTCGCTTAACAACTATAACAACTATTTATTAGTATAGAGTAATGCCTTCGAAGAGGACTTAATAATGACTGCGAATAATACATGAGAAGTGAGAGTCTTATATAGTGTATAATGACATTGAGGTAATTATAAATGATGAGTAGAATGTGTGCATATCGTATGCTTATGAGGTGATCGAAGGGTGTGCTGATTGGACAGGTAGCCCACCATATTCATGATGACTAGTCACTGGAAAAGTACCAAGAGTGATAGAGTCATATTCACGACAAATTGTTAGGTATTTAATTAACACTAGTCTCGTTACTTTTTAAAAATACAAAAATTAAAACATTTTTAGCCTCCTTTTATGCTAAGTCTAATTATTATTATTATTTACTGTTTGTGTGCTTTAATGTCAAAACTGTACAGCTTTACAGCGCTACAGTGCATAGCAATCAATGAGATTCTCCATATTTTAAAACATATTAACCTTTTTATATTGAAATTAATAAAATTAATAAAAGAACAAAGTATAGTCCATTCCGACTACTCGAAAGGACTCTGTTTTGAGAGATCGAAAAAAGGACAAAACCCATAAAAAAGAACGTTCTGGTCACCATAGTATACGAGCCCCGGAGATAGGGTATTATCTATGATTTTTACAGTGAATGCCTGCATCACGTAATGCGCCGTATCTCCAGGGCTTGCGATGTAAAGTTTTAGGTTTTTTTTAATAACTAATCCCTTAATCCCACACTTATATACAGTAAATCCCTTTTATCTGCACATAAGGCGGCCTTAAACTGCTGTAGGATTAGAGTCTGTTTGGGTTTAATAAAGACATTGTTTTAACGCCAAGTGTTTGGTCGAAAGACTTGACGTCACGTGGGATTACAGCTTAAGTCTACGACATAGGTTTAACATGGGCAATGCTAAGTCTATGGGAATAATGCCAATCCTATGAGAAATGTTATCACTATGAAATTAATTCTAATCCTATGGGCAATGGATAGTGACATCTTTGTTGCACTTATTTACTAAATAAATAACTAATTATTGTAATTTAAACTAAATTAACTATTATTAGAAAAATAATTTATTTAAATACTAACCAAAACATAAATTAATCATTATTTTGTAATTTCAAATTTTAGAATACATAGACTTTTAAAGAATTTGAAAGAATTTTTACTAAATTTGAGATACTAAGAAAATATTTGTATATTTGTATATTAAGAAAACCAGTAATTTTTAAAATTAGTTTAAATGATAAATTATGCAACTAATATGCTGATTATACATAACAGTTAATTAAAAGTATCTAACTAAAAAACTTATGAAAATTTCACATTTCTATAAAAATGTAGCACTCAATTTATTTTTCATGCATATGCAAAATATAAACAAATATATGGTTTGGAGCATCAGAATTGAGAGTTTGCTCATAAATAGTGTACCAACTGGTAAAAACTTAATAAAAATTTGCTTGATATTATTTTAAATTGTATATAACAAGTTTCGAAAAGTTAAGTAATAACTGTTTATAAAGCTTATGGAACTTGTTTTTAGTTAGTTCCTATTAGTTAGCATTTGATGGTAAATAATAACTTTTGACTATTTAAATTAAATGAATATTGTATTGGACATACTGTATCTTTAGTAAATATTATACATGTATATAAAGAATATTTACAATATTTACAATATTTAGAACCTTATGAGTAAATATTGTGAAAAGCTTTAATAATATGGAATAATAATAAAATATGGTGTGAATTGACCTAATATTCCGATGCGATGATTGAAAGTGACGACAACGACGTCCT